TTTCCAACATCAAGGCCGTCGTTCATGCCGCCGGCAGCCACACCAAGGCCTACAACAAAGAAGCTGATGCCGGCATCCAAGCATGTGCCAAAGCCACGGAACACACACTACCACATCGATTACACGGACCCGGCGATGATGAGTGTGGCGCCGCCGACCAGTTTGGCAACGGCAGCGAAACCGGCACCTTTGGTTCCTCCGCTTGTAGACCTCGAAGAGGTCGAGGCAATCAGCAGCGACAGCGACCTGTAACTTTAGCCGCTCTTGAGCAGCAGCCAAAAGAGAGAGCTCGTGAAGTTCTCTTGCAGAGTGCCGCTGTCAGAGAAGTGCTGCCGGTAGGTTGCCCAGCGTGTGTTCAGCTAGGTAGTCCAGCTTGCGTGCAGGTAGGTTGCCCAGCTTGTGTTCCGGTAGGTAGTCTAGCTTGCGTGCAGGTAGGTTGCCCAGCTTGTGTTCCGGTAGGTAGTCTAGCTTGCTTGCAGGTAGGTCGTGCAGCCTGCGTGCCAGTAGGTAGTTCAGCGTGCATGTCGGTCGGTCGCCCATTGCTTGATTCAGGTGATGTGGGTGGTGCCATTGGTGTTGAAGAGCTAGAGCAGCTTTTTGATGATGATGGTGATGACCGTGAAGGGTTAGAGAGAACCACCCCGAACAACACCAAACCCCCGGTAGACCCTGAAGAAGCTCTCCCCGAAAACATCGGTGCCGAAGCTAGATTGCGCCACCAACGTCAGGGTCATACCCCCTACTGGGGTGGCTGTCCTAGCTGTGTAAGGTCTAAAGGGCTAGCGCCCGCCCGAACACGCAAAAGTGTCGACCCACTTGAGGTACAGATGGATCAATACTGGTATCGAGGCATCCGATTGATCGCTGTGGTCCACGTGCCGACATATTGTATAGGGACAGCTGCGACTTGTGTGGGAGATAACCGAAAGGTCACGGTGGGTAAGCTAGTCAGATTCCTCAAATCATTCGGCCTTAAAGAGGTTCATGTTGTGCACGACGGGGAACCGCTTTTAGCAGCTATGGCAGCCGAGGTCGTTGAGGTTACAGGTGGGAGTTCAGTTTCTACGAAAACCTCGCCTAACAGACACGCCCCGGTAGCTGAGAGAGCGATCCGAACGCTTAAAGAAACAGCTTTGGCCAACGAGCTTCATGCTAAGGGTGTGAGTGGTTTGAAACTGTTGGCTAATGAGGAAGCGATGGAACTGCTTCACAGCCATGCTGCTGCTTCACACAACCGGTTTGGAACGTCACAAGGTCAACTGTTGAGTCCTTTGCAGCGAGCTTTGGGTGAGAGTCACACGCCTCACTTGTTGTTTCCTTTCGCTTGCATCATGTACATTCAGCCCCCAGAACACCTTGCATCACAAGTTGATGGTCGATACGACATTGGTGCCTATCTCGGCCCCGTGATTGGTGGGCAAGGGCATCACTGCATGATCAGACTCTCAAATGGGTCTATGAAAAGATGCGTCGCCCGGGCTCTCAAGATGGCCTACCCAGTGACGTTCTCGTCGAACTTGTTACCCACTATCGCCGAGGCTAATCCTGATGAGCCTGATTATGAAAGCCTACCAGGGGTGGCCCTACCGAGGAAAGCAATCCCGTTGCCGCAACCGGCGCCTGAATGGCTTGAAAACAACAAAACGGCACGTTGTCCGGGATGCTTAGGTAGATCGCGCTTCCACTCTAGGCGTTGCAAAGTTCGCTTTCGTGATTACATCAGGGATACGCTCGGTGATCTTGACAATCCTGAACAGCAACAAGCCCCTGACAAGCCTCAAGTAAAAATCAACCCGAACCCTGAAGTTGTGGAGTTTGAAGAAGAGAGCTTGGACTACGAGCCCAGTCTTCCTGGGTCTCCTGTTCCTGAGGATCTGCAGCACCTGGTGCCCGAACCCTCACAAGCAGCCCAAGACTCTGAGCTCCCTCAGGAGTATCTCCCTGGTGGGGACGTTGAGATGGATCAGGTTGATATGGACGACTACACTGTGCCCATGGATGTTGCTCAGGTCCCGGATGTCCTTGACAGTACGAGCATGCCTCAGTTCATGTTCTCAGTGATTCCGGACCAGAAGCATCACCTGAGTCCTGTTGATTACGGTGAGGTCGGCTTGTTTGCTGCTCAGCTTAAGAGAAAAGCACCCGCTCAGCACAGTAACCCCGATGAGGGGGTAGCCATGCCTTTCGGTGATCGGGAGGTGTGGGTCATCAAGCCCACTTCTGTGGTTGATGATGTCAGTGGCTTGCCTTTGGATCCTGAGAAAACGTGGGTTGGCATGCAGAAAGAGGTGTCTGCTATGCACAACTTGGGTGTCGGCAACGCCCGCACCTATGATGAGATTAAGACCCACTGCCAGGAGACAGGTGCCAAGATCATTAAGTCGCGTTTTGTCTTCACTGACAAGGTTGATGTTGACGATCAGCACATTGTGCGTGCGCGCCTTGTTGCAAAAGACTTTGCTTTCAATCAACCTTCGGCGCTTGACTTGGGCATTGCGAGCCAGACTGCTTCTGTGGAGGCCTTCAAGGCTTTCATCTGTCGTGTTGTCCAGGATACGCTTGTCCTTTGGGGACTTGACGTTTCGACTGCCTTCTTGTATGCCAAGTTGGTTCTTGATACCGTGCTTGAGTTGCCGGGATGCTTTCAGAACCTTGATGGCTCTAAGGTTTACGTCATCCTGGAGAAAGCCATATATGGCTTGAGATCGGCAGGCCTTTCGTGGCAGAAGCATCTTGCTGGACTTCTTGCTGAGTTGGGATTGTTTCCTTCTCTTATTGAACCTACGTTGTACAAAGGGTATTGGGGAGACATCCTTGTGCTTTGTCTTGTGTACGTCGACGACATCTTGCTAGCCACAAGAACGAAAGAGGCAAACCAACAGCTTCTAGACTTCCTCATGGGCCGTCTTAAGGTCAAGTTGACTGGACGCTTGGATGAGGACGGCAGGATCGGATTCCTAGGCCGTGAGATAATCAAGCGTGGCCATGAGATCTTGTTGGCTGTGAAGAAAGAATACGTCGATTCGATCTTCGAGGCTTTTGGGTGGAGCCAGGAGAACCGCAGGAAGATGAAGCCCTGCACTGCACCACCAGACCTCCGATCGATCCTTGACAAGGAAGACCCCGAGAAGCCCTCCGAAGAGCTCTCCCCTGAAGCCGCGAGCCGCTTTAGAAGCACCCTAGGGAAACTAGGCTGGCTTGTGCAAACCAGGGGGGATTTGTGTTATTTTCACTCCATGCTGTCTAGAGGTCAAGCCTGTCCGCGCGCTGTGCATGAGGATTGTATGCGTAAAGTGCTTCGTTGGCTTTTGGAGGTCCCGATCTTGTTCAGGTCTTTCAGAAGGACTCCAAAGCTCAACCTGGGACTGCAACCCTCGTTGGATTCAGCGACGCTAATTGGGCCTCTGAGCGCTCTACTGGACGGAAGAGCACCAGCGGAGGAGTGATTTACCTGAATGGGAATTGTATCAAGACTTACTCGAGGCTCCAGCCTATCGTAGCACTCTCCAGTGCGGAGTCTGAGCTTTTCGCTATGGTTGAGATGGCGCGCGAGCTTGTAGGATTGGGGCAGCTTTTGGGCCACCTTTTCGAAAGCGTTGCGCAACCCCTATACCTGCCTACGGACAGCTCTTCCGCTCGCCAAGTCAGTATGATGTCCGGCTTCCTGAGAAGGATGCGTCATGTGGACCTTCGTCTTTGCTACTTGCAGGATAAGGTTGAGAACGGCGAGATCCTGGTTACACACGTCCCAGGAACGGATAACGTCGCCGACTTGCAAACAAAGAACTTGAGTGTCGCGCAAACTTGGTATCATATAGGACAGTTGTGTCTTGAGGAACGTCTCACCCGTAGTGACTATCTTCGAGGTGATGCGCCCCCGGTCCGTTGCCTTGTGTTTGCCGCGTTCAAAGGTCTGTTTTCTGCAAGCGTCGATGATCCTTGGAGTGTGTTGGTTGGTCGTTGTCGGTTGCAGACACCGCATTACATTGTGATGGTCGAGTTCTGCACCTCTGGAGAAGCCTGGTTGACTAAGCTTGCTAGCCACTATGGCATCCATGCTATTCCCGTGACGGAAGAAACGGATGGGACTCTTCCGGAGACCATCGAGCTCATTGAGCATGCGCTTCGTTCGGCGCACCGTCGGAACATGCATGTTGTTGTGTGGGCTTCGACGCCCTGTACCGGTGGTTCGCCTTGGCAGCGGTATCACCAAGCCCGATCTGCAGATCACTATGATGATAGAATTAAGGGACTCTTCACAGTCCACAGAAAGCTCTGGAAGAGCTTCTTGAAGCTAGTCAACACATCTGATTCGGCAACTTGGGTCATTGAGTGGCCGCAACGTTGTGCTTACTGGGGATGGTCCGCTACGAAGTCATTCCTTAAGATCAATCCGCATGAGACCGCTCTTGTGCATGGCTGCGCCTGCGGTATGGTTGGAATGGACGCACTTCCTGTGAAGAAGGTTTGGAGGTTGTGCTCGAACAGTCATGTTCTCATTCACTGCATGGATAAATTAAAGTGCCCTGGAAACCACGAGCATAGTAAGATGTTCGTTCTGAAGAACACCCAGCACTACCCCGAAGCTTTTGCTCACACAGCTCTTAGGGCTTTGAGTGCTTGGTAGGTGCTGACGCCTCTTTGTACAGCCGCAGCCGTTTTTGGAAGAGCCATAAAACTATCGTGGACCGTGAGAAGATCTACGAGCCCAATACGCAACAGCAGCCACTGGACCGGTACCTTTTCTCGACGACAGGTTCATGAGGGGGAGTTGATTTTCAATCCTGGCTCAAGTTTTCGGCTCAGACTTTGCAGTGCCGACGTGGCCTTTTAGCCTGGAGTCCCTACTTTTGCTAAAGGCCCTGACTGGAACCCAAACCGCAACCTTAAAGGTCGTAGGCTGGCTGTCCAGCAAGGGTTGGGGCGGGGTAGCGCCATACTGCACGTGCTTTCAAGCCGAACACTTGCTCAGCCGTTGTCACAGGTTGAGCTTGCTCGCCATGACTTGGGGAAAAAACGGTGCCAAGGGTGCAGCAACGCCCTACATCGTCTGTCCTCACTGCTCTAGGGCGGGTAAGCAGAGCTGGATTTTCGTAGACAGAGTCCAGCACCACCCCTTTTGCAACCTGTGTGGTAACGCCTGGAAAACACAGGGTGCTCCGGTCACTCAAAGACTGCGCCCGCGGGGTCCCAAGAAGAACAGGGACAGAAGCGCAACCACTGAGAGTGCAACTCAAAGCCCCCAACGGCCTAGGAATCATGAGGGCAACCTCTCCAAAGCCGTCACGACTCTTTGGCAGAAGTTTCCCCCAGAGGTCCAGAAGGAACTGAGCGAGGCAGGTTTCCAAGCAGGCCGGCAGCCGAGTCCGCCTCCAGGCCTCCAGTCTGGAAAAGGCAAAGGGGCAAAGGGTGGGCTTGACGAGCAGGCCGAAGCCTCTAAGAACCTGTGGGATTCCGCGTCTGATGATCAGAAGAAGCTGATGCGCCAAGCTGGCATCCCTGAGCCGGTGGCGTCGGAGCCAACAGACCTTGCGGCCCTTTGCAAGAAGCACTTGGAGTCATTGCCGCCTTCGATCCAGCAAGCCCTTGCAGCACTTGATCCTCCGGCCCCCACGCAGACTCAGCAGATTGAGATTGCAACTCGTCGCTTTAAGCAGAGTACTACGGACTTGCGACAGATGATCCAGCAAACTGCTGCTTTACAGATTCGCATAGACCGAGCCAAAGCAACCTACCAGGAGCTGCTTGAGAAGATGAAGGTTTGCCAATCTGACTTGCAAAGCAAGCAAGCTGAAGTCACGGCTATGCAATCGGAGTTGGAAGCCACACTCCGTGCTGATGCTTTGGGTCTGGAGGACCCCGCGCGCAAGGACGATTCCTTGGAAGGGCTTCTAGATACGCTTGCCAAAGTTGGGATTGTCCTGACCCAGGAGCAGAAGGAGCTTTACGAGGAGGCCCAGCGCGGTAAGCTTAACGATGGGCAGCAGAATATGGATGTTGAAGCCACAAACCAGCCTGGTTTGACGGCTCCGACCCGTGCCCCGCTGAGCCAAACTCTGCCAGAACACAAGGGCACTGAGCCGCATGAGCAAGCCAAGCCCAGGTCCAGGAGCCGAGGCCGTAGCACGCAGCAAGGTTAGGGAGTGGGGCTGGGGGTTCAGGTTAGGTCTGTTTTCGAGGAAGGTCCTTTAAGTGGGGACAGTGGGCAACCTGCTTGTGCATTTCAGCCTGCCCTTCTGCTTGATCAAGATGTTTCCTGTGCCCCTGCGTCCAGCTCTCAGCCCTGCGGGTTTTCCGGCGAATCGGTTAAGAGACCCATTTCTTTGTACAGTGATTTGTTTTCATTGGGGGAGTGCCAACCTCAGCAGCCCAAGTCCTTAGAGAAGGTTTCAGGGTATGTTGAGGCTTACTCACAATTTTGCAACACCGACCTTGTATGGGATCAGTTTTGGTTACCTGGTTTTTCTGGTAAGGAAGACTGGGATTCTTTTGGGGATTTGAGTGCCTGGCAGACTGTAACCAAAGGATTACGCCACAGCACCCCGCTGCAGTCCCAAGACACCCAACTCATCACTGGACCCCAATTTTGGCCCCCGTCTTTCTCGACAACTGAGTTTGATGAGGTCCCTGTGACCGGTGCTTCTTCAATCTCTGCTTTTGTGGCCACAACCTCAGCAACGGCATCTCAAGTTGAGGAGTTTCCTCGCTTACAGGCGTCGGGGAGCCACGCCGAGGTTGGGGTCACCCGCAAACGGAATAAAACCAGGCGCAGAGCGAAACAGCCCAAACACATTAGGGTGCCATTCTCTCAGCTTGCCCTTTGTGAGATGCCACCTGAGTTGCCACCGTCGGCAAGCCCACACAGCCAGTGGCGAACACTCGAAGGCCAGGTGTGGGAGGCTGTCCGGGACCCAGGTCTGTTGGGAGCAACTTCGGAGTTGGTTGCCCACCTTCTTGATCAGGTTGAACAGGGCAGCTTAGGTTGGTGGCTGTGCCAAGAGATCTTGGCTCTCCAACGTTCTTTTGACTTGACTTTGCTCCTGCTTGTTGCTCGGGGCTTTGAAGTTTTGCGCAAATCGCAGCCACAGGGGCATAGGCAAATGCGTGTCACATCTTGCAACATCACTTCTTGGAGGCCCGAAGTCAAGCAATGGTTTTCAGCTCAAGGGGATGTTGTCTTGATTCAGGAGCACCACCTTTTGGAGTCCCAAGTTGTTGCTGAAATTTCGTCTATGGCTGCCATGGGCTTTGACTCCTTCCTTGTGCCCGCAGCCCCTGGGGAAGGCCGACGGAATAGCTCTAGAGGCGGAGTAGGGGTTTTAGTTAGAGCCCACCTGGGAGCCCGTTTGCGAGGCCAGTATACCAACCAAGGTTGCGGCTACGTGGCGGTGACGCTACGCACACAAGGGGCTGACTTGACAGTAGTTAGCCTGTACCTCCAGTCCTCCTCCGGCTTCGGGTCCCCGGTCAACTCTGACATCCTAGCATCTCTGCGCGCAATTCGTCAATCTGTAAGGGGCCCAATCCTGATAGGTGGAGATTGGAACTCGCCTTTGAAGGAATTGTTGGACACTGCCATTTTTCAAAGTTTGTCCCTTGAACCAATTGGGCCCAACAAAGCCACATGTGGTGACAATGAGCTTGATTTTCTGGCTGTATCACACTGCCTGGAAGGTTTGCTCCGGGTTGATGCCTCCTGGGATGTTCCTTTCAAGCCACATGCAGCAATCCAAGTTGCCCTTAATGTGGGCGCTTTCCAGCTCACCACTCCACAGCTTCCCTCCTTTGTGCTTTCCTTCAGGGAAGAACCGCTTGATTACATGCAGGTTGAGGAGACCCTCGCCTCTTTGCCCGATACCACCTTGTCGGCTGACCCCCTGAGCAATCGACTGGCTTCCATTTCCAGCTCGGTGGAGCACAGTCTTTTGCAAACGTCCCAGGGTATTGGTCGCCAACTCCAAGTTGAATTCCTCCCAGCTGTTCCTCGCATGTCCCAGTTCGCATGGGAAGGCTCTTGCCAGGCTTTTTGGCACCGGGTACAATTTCTGTGCCAGGGAGACCACCCCAAACGTCGAGAGCAATGCCAGGAGTATTTGCCGCAGATCCTGGACCACTGGCAGGGCAACTCGGAGGAGGCTGTTTCCTTTCTTTCTACGCTCCAGGCCTGTCTCTCGGAGCAGGCAGCTGTTCCTGAGCCCGTCCAGCAATTATTGCAGGAGCAATTTCTGCTGGCCTCTAAAGTTCACCAGGATGCCCAGACCAAGTCGTACAGGTCGTGGTTGCAGGGAGCCCAAGAAAAAGGGATGGCTCCCCTTTTCAAGACGATCAAAAAAGGTGAAATCACCACTGCACGTCCCTTTCGGGATCTGTCCGCAGAGGTCCGCGCCCTGGCTAGAACCAAACTATGGCTCCGCACTTGGAAAGGCGTACTTAGAGTTGAGGACCTTCCTCCTCTTCCACACGCAGAGCAACAGGCTCGCGGAAAGCTACGGGAACTGGCTGCTCAGCAGGTCGCTACCCTGAGCCCCATTTCCCCGGAACAGCTGCAACAAAGGTTTTCCAAAGGCAGGGTCACTGCCCCAGGACCGGATGGCTGGAGCAAGTCCCTTCTCAAGAAATTGACTTGGCCAATGCTTCAGGACATCGCTGAATTTTATCAGGAGCTCGAAAGAGGCCTCCGAGTCCCGCAGCAGTTTCTCCTGACACAAGTTTGTATGCTGCCCAAATCGGCTACTGCTGAGAGACCTATCTCTTTAACTCACGTTTTGTGGAGGGACTACTGCAGAGCCAGGTGGTCCCTGATCCAAGAGTGGACGGTCTCCTACCAGGCCCTGGCTCCTTGGGATGCCGCAGTGCCAGGACGAACATCACTAGACATCGGCATCCGCCGTTTGCTGTGGGCCGAAGCCTCCCGAACTCAGTCCAAACACTTTGTAGGACTCTTTCTTGATATCAAAGGCTTCTATGATTGTGTAGTTTGGGCCTCGGTAGTCGACACCGGACTCCTGCTGCAGTTCCCACCTTTGCTTTTGGAGCTTTCCCTTCAAATTTATGGTGGGACACGATTTGTCTCAGCCGAAAATTCAGTTTCGCCGGGAATAATTCCCACAGTTGGGTTGCTTCAGGGTTGCCCTGTTGCGCCGGTGGTTTCGAAACTGGCTTTGTTTGTCCCAATCAGGGACCTTCAGGCTACTGGCCTCACTCACAACATAGACCAGTGGCTGGATGACATTTCGGCTGACGTGGTAGGTTCCACTGCTTCTAACACGGCTCACAAAGCCCTCAAGACATTTCGTATACTGCGAGATTCTCTTGCGGAACGAAATCTTCAGGTTTCCTTGGAGAAAACCAAGTTTCTTTGCTCAGATTCTGCCACCTCTCAAGTTCTTGAGCGTCTGCGTTCGGACCAAGATCCTGGCATTACTCTGTTAGCCAAAGACTTAGGGGTTGACAGCAATGCTGGCAGACGCCGCAGGCTTGCCACCTCTCTTGGCAGGCACAAGAAGGCGCAAGGCCGCCACAAGCGCCTTCGTGCTTTAGGTGTTGATTCGCATTGTTCACGCACTAGGGTTGTGCGCGGATCCATCATGACATGTGCCACCTATGGCCATCAGGCACAGGGTGTTAGCCCCAAACGGTTGAAATGGCACCGCGCTGTGCTGGCTGGTAGCTTAGGACGCCAACATCTTGGAGGAACCCTGACCGTCTTGGAGATGTTCTCCCACAGATTTCCGGATCCCCGCGAGCAGATCATTTGTGAGCATTTGCAAGTCTTCCTTCGTATTCTGGGCCGTTCTCCTTCCATTTGGGCGGAAGTTCAAAGGTCCTGGCCCTTGGTCAAATCCAGGTTGGAGGCTTCGCCTCACCCTTGGAAAATCGTTGCCGGACCCATTTCGGCCATGATTCAGTATGCCAGGGACATGGGATGGGATGTCCAGTCCCCGGAAGTCTGGCATATTGATGGCCACCCCTGGCCCGTTGACTTCAGCCCCTTTCTTTTTCAGGAGCTGCGGCGCAAGATTCGGTCTACCATCAAGGGCGAAAGATTGCGAGCCATCTCTTGCCAACATGGCGGTCAAGGAGCTCAGGATGGTGTAGATTTTACAATTCATCGCCGCATTGCTTTAAAGAAGACCAAACGTCTGACCTTCTACCGGTCAATCTGGCAAGGAGCAGTTGTGCATGCGGGAAGTGGTGGCCACCCCAAGTGCCCTTACTGCAAGGATCGGGGCATTGAGTCAGACAACACACTACAACATGTGCTGTGGGACTGCCCTAGATGGGCTAGACAGCCAAAGCTTCCCCGGCATCTTGAACAAATGCGTCAGTCCCATCCTGCGCCCTGCCTTTGGTTGCGAGCCCTTCCCCCTCTTGCCTACGTCTCCTCGCCACTTCAGAATGCTGAGGATAGGTATGAGGGCACCTGGCCGTCACAGACCTGGGACTCGGATTTTGTCATTGGCACTGATGCCAGTGGTGGCAAATTCTCTTCCGATCCCAGATTGAGGACCATTGGATGGGCTGTGATTCTAGCACGTAAAACGGGCCAAAGCATCACAGTCATCGCAACTGCGAGCGGGGTTTTGCCTCGGCCGGCCACGGTTCTAGATGGGGAGGTCCATGCCATTGTCAAGGCCCATGAGCTTTGCCCGGGCCTGACGGATCTTACTACAGATTCTCGGGTAGCTTGCAAGCAGGCCGCAGCTAAGGCGGTTACATCCAAGCATTCCATGTTTTGGAAACCCCAATGGCAGAGCATCTCCCCACAACACCTTCATTGGGTCAAGGCCCACTTGGATGTAGGAAAATTTGCTGAAAAGTTTGGAAAAGATGAGGTTTGGCGTTGGCATTTGAATCAGGAAGCTGACCAGCTTGCCGGGTCCAGGGCTGACCAAGCTTTGCACCCTGATGCCAGAAAGCAAGTCCGGCAAGTTGACACGCTGGTTTCCACCCTTTCCCAGCTACTTAGCTACTTAGTCAGAGGGCGGAGATTTTGATTACTACGCAGGATAAAAAGATTATTTTCTGCAAGCGCCAGCCAAAACCTCCAACCCTTAACAAAAGGCAGCAGATTGAGCAACTCGTCAGCCAAACCGTATCTCCGCAGGGACACCAGTGGGAAATTCGGAGTCAGCACCCGACGAACCTCACAGCCATGTGTGGGAAATGTGGCCTTTACCTGCAGCAAGTGGACCCTCCGTCACTGTTCCAGCAGGTCCTTGCACAGCCGTGCCTAGGAGGGGAAGGTCGTCCCCCGGAGCACCTGGCCTGTCACTCCTCCCATCAGCTTGTTTCCATTGGCAAAGCTTGGCAGTGTAAAGTGTGTGAAGGCATTTTGCCAGCGCGGGCAAAGAAAGTCCCGGGGCTCCTCCAGTCCCTGTGTGTGACCCGTAAACACACTAACAAACTGACTAAGTTCACCAAGAGTCTGTTAAGTGGTGTAGGGGTTCCGGAGTCACTACCTGCTTCCAAGAAGGCTAGCAAGCTTTCTAAGGAGACCCTCCCAAAAGCCCGAAACCTTAGCAACTTCTTTGCAACACCACTTAACAGGGTTGAGGCCACTCCCCTGCAAACCCTCACTTCCGACGACCCTCCCTTGCAGAACATGGTCAGGATTGAGCCTCCCTCTCCTGCTGTCCGCGATCACCGGGATTCTTGTAGCCCGGAGCTTGGAGACTTAAGGGCTGCTGGCTCCATTGTTCGCAAGGTGAAGTTCCAAAATCCATCCAATCATTGTTATACCAATTCTTTGGTGGTTGGTTTCTTTTGGATTGATCTGCTCCTTTATGCCTCCAGCCCCTTTGCTGGATCCCCCATCCAGGGCATTCTGCGATGGTTGAAAGATCAACGCAAAGTCGAGCTGTGGCAGTCCCTGGTTTGGAAGAGATTAGTTGCAGGCCAGGGTCGATGGGAATCCCCAAACAGCCAGCATGATGTTTGTCAACTTCTCATGCACCTTTCTTCGGGGTTTCCCCGTGACCTCTCTTGCGTTTCATGGAGAGCTCATGCTCCCAATGCACCTCACCACGAGGGTAACTTTTTCCCACTTCCTCTTCACCTCCCGGAGCACGAAGTCTCTATGAGGGAACTCCTGGCAAGTTGGCAACAAGGTGGAGAAGTGAAAATCCTCACTCACCCGCCTTTGATTGCATTGCAGCTTTTGAGGTTTGTTGGGGACGGGGGGGGTTTTCGGAGGCTCGAGAACCCAGTTGGTTTTGAGGATCCTTGTGTGCTTGAGGGATTGGATGGGGAACTTCTTCGTTACTACCCCAAGGCCGTGGTCTCGCATTTTGGCAACTCCCCGACCTCTGGACATTATCGTACATTACTTCTCCCCTCCAAGCTTATTACTGATGATGGGGTAGGTGCTGTTTGCGCCAAGCCTGCAGATGTAGCCTGGTCTAAGTGCTACTCGTACCTGGTCTTGCTAACCCTCCATGTCTGAGCCTTCTCGCAGCTTTTGGCTCCAAGATGGGTAAAGGAAAAGGGAAGAACAAGCCAGGGAAGGGGCAGAATGCCCCTTTCGAGGACCCGGTAACGGAACAGCGGTACCAGGCCCTCTTGCAGCATCGTTTTAGTGAGGGCAAACCTGCTATTTCGAGATCAAGGTACTCCAGGCAAAGCCAGCATTCAGGTACCGACCGGGAACCTCCGGCTTCTGGTCCCAACTTGTCAAGGTCGGTGGAGGCCCCTATCACGAGGCCAAAAGCCGCACCCAAGACGGGGGTAGCCCGAACCCCACCACCACCACCGCCAAAGCGGCAACGCACAGAGGCCCAGGCTGAGGAGGCCTCGCCAAGAGCCTCCGGTTCCAATCTGCAGGCTGAGGTGCCCTCGCCTTCCAATGCTGATGAACCAAGCCTAGCCTCCACAACCCAGGTTGAGCAGGTCTCGCCTGCACCAACCTCTCCTTTGGGGCCTGAGCAGGATGAGGTGCTGACCTCTCCTAAGCAGGAACCTGCCCAGAGTTCTCAGATTGAGGTTCCTTCACCGGCAACCAAGCCGGATACAGATGCTGGTGATCCAGGCCCGGCCGCCACAACCCAGGTTGAGAAGGTCTCGCCTGCACCGGCCTCTCCCTTGGAGCCTGAGCAGGAAGAGGTACTGACCTCTCCTAAGCAGGAGCCTGCCCAAAGCTCCCAGGTTGAGGTTACCTCACCGGCGCCCAAGCCGGATACAGAATGCCCGGCTTCCAAAACACAGGTTGAGAAGATCTCACCTGAGCCAGCCTCTTCTTTGGTGCCTGAGCAGGTTGAGGAACCCTCACCTCACCCAGATCCTGTCCCCAGTGCCCAGGTTGAGGCAAATTCACCGGCCACCACCGAAGCTCCATCCCCAGCGCAGTCCCATTCAGGCCCAGATCCGGGAATCAAGGGCGAGGGCATCAGAGGGGAACCAGATCCGGAGGTTCCCTTGGAGCTTCTTTTATCCCGAGATCCCTCCGAGGCGTGTCCCTAAACAAAAAAGGCACGTCTGGCACGCCTTGGACTACTTACACTCCGGCGGAGCTGGAGGACGAGCTTGGAGGGGTATGGGCCGTATTGGGGGTAGGTGGCAGTCGTGTCACCTTGGAGCCCCCGGCTCAATGGGGACTTGGAGCCGAAGTTCAGGTCCTCAAGCTGGGGCTCGCCGAGGCCATGGACCAGGAGCAGATTTTTCTGGAGGGACTATCCAGAGATTTCACCTTTATTCCTCGACCGGGGTCTTCTGGTGAAGTCCTGCTCACCTTGTCAGAGAATGGCCACGGCCGGGGTTTTTCTCTTCGAGCCCGCGCGGTTTTCTACAGGCGGGTCATCCCTGTGGCTTCTCCGCAGGGAAGGCTTAGGACACTTGATGTCCCGGACCTCCTGGCCTTGTTAAGTGTGGTCGCGTTTTTGTGTGCCTGCCATATCCGCTTGTCGGATCTTGGGGAGCACAACGTAGGTTGGGCCCTCCCGACCTTGGCGCGCACACGCGCCGAGAACATGGCGCTCCAAAGTGCAAAGCTGCGCTCGGCCGACTACGTGCAGGTTTGTTTGTACGACGGGGGCCGCTGGAGAGAAGCGCAGCACAAGCACTGGCCTGGAAAGGCGGCAACCAAGGGGCTCCTTGGCCTATGTGCCAAACATGAAATGTTTGGGCCATGGGTGGAAGAACAAATCCACCTCTATGGCTCCCCCGAGGTTTTGGCCAAGGTCTTCCTCCACCGCCTCCAGGACTTCCCGCACCACTTCGAGGGTTTAAAGGACTCGGGGTTCTTAACCTACCTCCCTTTGTGCTACAGGGTTGGTATGGTCATTCCCCTGAGCAACCCTTGGAGCAATCCGGATGATACAACCTGGCAGCTCGTTCCGATCCCAAGTTTGGACACCCCAACAAGTTGAGAAACCCCTTGAAGGGTCTTAAGGTGAGGTGACTCCCTTAAGCTTGCAAGCCGCTCCAGGGTGAGGAGACTCCCCTTTCCAGCTTTAATTCAACGAGCCAATTTGGTCACAAGCCTAAGTCTGCTCAAGGTGAGGTTACTCCCTTGCTCTACAAGCCAACAACGTGAGGAGACTCCGTGGACTTGGAGAAGCTACAAGGTTGAGATACCTCCCTTGCACCCTTTTGTTGCCGCCTAGCTCAAAGTGAGGAGACTCCTTGGAAGGTAGGCTGAGGGCAACCGCAGTAGGCAGGTGAGCTCGACCAGTCTGTGCCGAGGGTGCTGTTTAAGGACATCACCTGATGTCAGACTGGTCTAGAGAAACTCGCCGCTCCCAAAGTGGACTAGGCTCAGAACTCAGGGTGAGGTGACTCCCCTCAAACTTCGTCTCACCCTGACTCGAACTGGGCTCAGCCCAGCGGACCGACCGCTCGAGCGTGATTTTCAATCCTGGCTCAAGTTTTCGGCTCAGACTTTGCAGTGCCGACGTGGCCTTTTAGCCTGGAGTCCCTACTTTTGCTAAAGGCCCTGACTGGAACCCAAACCGCAACCTTAAAGGTCGTAGGCTGGCTGTCCAGCAAGGGTTGGGGCGGGGTAGCGCCATACTGCACGTGCTTTCAAGCCGAACACTTGCTCAGCCGTTGTCACAGGTTGAGCTTGCTCGCCATGACTTGGGGAAAAAACGGTGCCAAGGGTGCAGCAACGCCCTACATCGTCTGTCCTCACTGCTCTAGGGCGGGTAAGCAGAGCTGGATTTTCGTAGACAGAGTCCAGCACCACCCCTTTTGCAACCTGTGTGGTAACGCCTGGAAAACACAGGGTGCTCCGGTCACTCAAAGACTGCGCCCGCGGGGTCCCAAGAAGAACAGGGACAGAAGCGCAACCACTGAGAGTGCAACTCAAAGCCCCCAACGGCCTAGGAATCATGAGGGCAACCTCTCCAAAGCCGTCACGACTCTTTGGCAGAAGTTTCCCCCAGAGGTCCAGAAGGAACTGAGCGAGGCAGGTTTCCAAGCAGGCCGGCAGCCGAGTCCGCCTCCAGGCCTCCAGTCTGGAAAAGGCAAAGGGGCAAAGGGTGGGCTTGACGAGCAGGCCGAAGCCTCTAAGAACCTGTGGGATTCCGCGTCTGATGATCAGAAGAAGCTGATGCGCCAAGCTGGCATCCCTGAGCCGGTGGCGTCGGAGCCAACAGACCTTGCGGCCCTTTGCAAGAAGCACTTGGAGTCAATGCCGCCTTCGATCCAGCAAGCCCTTGCAGCACTTGATCCTCCGGCCCCCACGCAGACTCAGCAGATTGAGATTGCAACTCGTCGCTTTAAGCAGAGCACTACGGACTTGCGACAGATGATCCAGCAAACTGCTGCTTTACAGATTCGCATAGACCGAGCCAAAGCAACCTACCAGGAGCTGCTTGAGAAGATGAAGGTTTGCCAATCTGATTTGCAGAGCAAGCAAGCTGAAGTCACGGCTATGCAGTCGGAGTTGGAAGCCACACTCCGTGCTGATGCTTTGGGTCTGGAGGACCCCGCGCGCAAGGACGATCCCTTGGAAGGGCTTCTAGATACGCTTGCCAAAGTTGGGATTGTCCTGACCCAGGAGCAGAAGGAGCTTTACGAGGAGGCCCAGCGCGGTAAGCTTAACGATGGGCAGCAGAATATGGAAGTTGAAGCCACAAACCAGCCTGGTTTGACGGCTCCGACCCGTGCCCCGCTGAGCCAAACTCTGCCAGAACACAAGGGCACTGAGCCGCATGAGCAAGCCAAGCCCAGGTCCAGGAGCCGAGGCCGTAGCACGCAGCAAGGTTAGGGAGTGGGGCTGGGGGTCCAGGTTAGGTCTGTTTTCGAGGAAGGTCCTTTAAGTGGGGAGAGTGGGCAACCTGCTTGTGCATTTCAGCCTGCCCTTCTGCTTGATCAAGACGTTTCCTGTGCCCCTGCGTCCAGCTCTCAGCCATGCGGGTTTTCCGGCGAATCGGTTAAGAGACCCATTTCTTTGTACAGTGATTTGTTTTCATTGGGGGAGTGCCAACCTCAGCAGCCCAAGTCCTTAGAGAAGGTTTCAGGGTATGTTGAGGCTTACTCACAATTTTGCAACACCGACCTTGTATGGGATCAGTTTTGGTTACCTGGTTTTTCTGGTAAGGAAGACTGGGATTCTTTTGGGGATTTGAGTGCCTGGCAGACTGTTACCAAAGGATTACGCCACAGCACCCCGCTGCAGTCCCAGGACACCCAACTCATCACAGGGCCCCAATTTTGGCCCCCGTCTTTCTCGACAACTGAGTTTGATGAGGTCCCTGTGACCGGTGCTTCTTCAATCTCTGCTTTTGTGGCCACAACCTCAGCAACGGCATCTCAAGTTGAGGAGTTTCCTCGCTTACAGGCGTCGGGGAGCCACGCCGAGGTTGGGGTCACCCGCAAACGTAATAAAACCAGGCGCAGAGCGAAACAGCCCAAACACATTAGGGTGCCATTCTCTCAGCTTGCCCTTTGTGAGATGCCACCTGAGTTGCCACCGTCGGCAAGCCCACACAGCCAGTGGCGAACACTCGAAGGCCAGGTGTGGGAGGCTGTCCAGAACCCAGGTCTGTTGGGAGCAACTTCGGAGTTGGTTGCCCACCTTCTTGATCAGGTTGAACAGGGCAGCTTAGGTTGGTGGCTGTGCCAAGAGATCTTGGCCCTCCAACGTTCTTTTGACTTGACTTTGCTCTTGCTTGTTGCTCGGGGCTTTGAAGTTTTGCGCAAATCGCAGCCACAGGGGCACAGGCAAATGCGAGTCACATCTTGCAACATCACTTCTTGGAGGCCAGAAGTCAAGCAATGGTTTTCAGCTCAAGGGGATGTTATCTTGATTCAGGAGCACCATCTTTTGGAGTCCCAAGTTGTTGCTGAAATTTCGTCCATGGCTGCCATGGGCTTTGACTCCTTCCTTGTGCCCGCAGCCCCTGGGGAAGGCCGACGGAATAGCTCTAGAGGCGGAGTAGGGGTTTTAGTTAGAGCCCACCTGGGAGCCCGTTTGCGAGGCCAGTATACCAACCAAGGTTGCGGCTACGTGGCGGTGACGCTACGCACACAAGGGGCTGACTTGACAGTAGTTAGCCTGTACCTCCAGTCCTCCTCCGGCTTCGGGTCCCCGGTCAACTCTGACATCCTAGCATCTCTGCGCGCAATTCGTCAATCTGTAAGGGGCCCAATCCTGATAGGTGGAGATTGGAACTCGCCTTTGAAGGAATTGTTGGACACTGCCATTTTTCAAAGTTTGTCCCTTGAACCAATTGGGCCCAACAAAGCCACATGTGGTGACAATGAGCTTGATTTTCTGGCTGTATCACACTGCCTGGAAGGTTTGCTCCGGGTTGATGCCTCCTGGGATGTTCCTTTCAAGCCACATGCAGCAATCCAAGTTGCCCTTAATGTGGGCGCTTTCCAGCTCACCACTCCACAGCTTCCCTCCTTTGTGCTTTCCTTCAGGGAAGAACCGCTTGATTACATGCAGGTTGAGGAGACCCTCGCCTCTTTGCCCGATACCACCTTGTCGGCTGACCCCCTGAGCAATCGACTGGCTTCCATTTCCAGCTCGGTGGAGCACAGTCTTTTGCAAACGTCCCAGGGTATTGGTCGCCAACTCCAAGTTGAATTCCTCCCAGCTGTTCCTCGCATGTCCCAGTTCGCATGGGAAGGCTCTTGCCAGGCTTTTTGGCACCGGGTACAATTTCTGTGCCAGGGAGACCACCCCAAACGTCGAGAGCAATGCCAGGAGTATTTGCCGCAGATCCTGGACCACTGGCAGGGCAACTCGGAGGAGGCTGTTTCCTTTCTTTCTACGCTCCAGGCCTGTCTCTCGGAGCAGGCAGCTGTTCCCGAGCCCGTCCAGCAATTATTGCAGGAGCAATTTCTGCTGGCCTCTAAAGTTCACCAGGATGCCCAGACCAAGTCGTACAGGTCGTGGTTGCAGGGAGCCCAAGAAAAAGGGATGGCTCCCCTTTTCAAGACGATCAAAAAAGGTGAAATCACCACTGCACGTCCCTTTCGGGATCTGTCCGCAGAGGTCCGCGCCCTGGCTAGAACCAAACTATGGCTCCGCACTTGGAAAGGCGTACTTAGAGTTGAGGACCTTCCTCCTCTTCCACACGCAGAGCAACAGGCTCGCGGAAAGCTACGGGAACTGGCTGCTCAGCAGGTCGCTACCCTGAGCCCCATTTCCCCGGAACAGCTGCAACAAAGGTTTTCCAAAGGCAGGGTCACTGCCCCAGGACCGGATGGCTGGAGCAAGTCCCTTCTCAAGAAATTGACTTGGCCAATGCTTCAGGACATCGCTGAATTTTATCAGGAGCTCGAAAGAGGCCTCCGAGTCCCGCAGCAGTTTCTCCTGACACAAGTTTGTATGCTGCCCAAATCGGCTACTGCTGAGAGACCTATCTCTTTAACTCACGTTTTGTGGAGGGACTACTGCAGAGCCAGGTGGTCCCTGATCCAAGAGTGGACGGTCTCCTACCAGGGCCCTGGCTCCTTGGGATGCCGCAGTGCCAGGTCGAACTTCTCTAGACATCGGCATCCGCCGGTTGCTGTGGGCCGAAGCCTCCCGAACTCAGTCCAAACACTTTGTAGGACTCTTTCTTGATATCAAAGGCTTCTATGATTGTGTAGTTTGGGCCTCGGTAGTCGACACCGGACTCCTGCTGCAGTTCCCACCTTTGCTTTTGGAGCTTTCCCTTCAAATTTATGGTGGGACACGATTTGTCTCAGCCGAAAATTCGGTTTCGCCGGGAATAATTCCCACAGTTGGGTTGCTTCAGGGTTGCCCTGTTGCGCCGGTGGTTTCGAAACTGGCTTTGTTTGTCCCAATCAGGGACCTTCAGGCTACTGGCCTCACTCACAACATAGACCAGTGGCTGGATGACATTTCGGCTGACGTGGTAGGGTCCACTGCGTCTAACACGGCTCACAAAGCCCTCAAGACATTTCGTATACTGCGAGATTCTCTTGCGGAACGAAATCTTCAGGTTTCCTTGGAGAAAACCAAGTTTCTTTGCTCAGATTCTGCCACCTCTCAAGTTCTTGCGCGTCTGCGTTCGGACCAAGATCCTGGCATTACTCTGTTAGCCAAAGACTTAGGGGTTGACAGCAATGCTGGCAGACGCCGCAGGCTTGCCACCGCTCTTGGCAGGCACAAGAAGGCGCAAGGCCGCCACAAGCGCCTTCGTGCTTTAGGTGTTGATTCGCATCGTTCACGCACTAGGGTTGTGCGCGGATCCATCATGACATGTGCCACCTATGGCCATCAGGCACAGGGTGTTAGCCCCAAACGGTTGAAATGGCACCGCGCTGTGCTGGCTGGTAGCTTAGGACGCCAACATCTGGGAGGAACCCTGACCGTCTTGGAGATGTTCTCCCACAGATTTCCGGATCCCCGAGAGCAGATCATTTGTGAGCATTTGCAAGTTTTTCTCCGTATTCTTGGCCGTTCTCCTTCCATTTGGGAGGAAGTTCAAAGGTCCTGGCCCTTGGTCAAATCCAGGTTGGAGGCTTCGCCTCACCCTTGGAAAATCGTTGCCGGACCCATTTCGGCCATGATTCAGTATGCCAGAGACATGGGATGGGATGTCCAGTCCCCGGAAGTCTGGCATATTGATGGCCACCCCTGGCCCGTTGACTTCAGCCCCTTTCTTTTTCAGGAGCTGCGGCGCAAGATTCGGTCTACCATCAAGGGCGAAAGATTGCGAGCCATCTCTGGCCAACATGGTGGTCAAGGAGCTCAGGATGGTGTAGATTTTACAATTCATCGCCGCATTGCTTTAAAGAAGACCAAACGTCTGACCTTCTACCGGTCAATCTGGCAAGGTGCAGTTGTGCATGCGGGAAGTGGTGGCCACCCCAAGTGCCCTTACTGTAAGGATCGGGGCCTTGAGTCAGAAAACACACTACAACATGTGCTGTGGGACTGCCCCAGATGGGCCAGACAGCCAAAGCTTCCCCGGCATCTTGAACAAATGCGTCAGTCCCATCCTGCGCCCTGCCTTTGGTTGCGAGCCCTTCCCCCTCTTGCCTACGTCTCCTCGCCACTTCAGAACGCTGAGGATAGGTATGCGGGCACCTGGCCGTCACAGCCCTGGGACTCGGATTTTGTCATTGGCACCGATGCCAGTGGTGGAAAATTCTCTTCCGATCCCAGATTGAGGACCATTGGATGGGCTGTGATTCTAGCACGTAAAACGGGCCAAAGCATCACAGTTATCGCAACTGCGAGCGGGGTTTTGCCTCGGCCGGCCACGGTTCTAGATGGGGAGGTCCATGCCATTGTCAAGGCCCATGAGCTTTGCCCGGGCCTGAAGGATCTTACTACAGATTCTCGGGTAGCTTGCAAGCAGGCCGCAGCTAGGGCGGTAACATCCAAGCATTCCATGTTTTGGAAACCCCAATGGCAGAACATATCCCCACAACACCTTCATTGGGTCAAGGCCCACTTGGATGTAGGAAAATTTGCTGAAAAGTTTGGAAAAGATGAGGTTTGGCGTTGGCATTTGAATCAGGAAGCTGACCAACTTGCCGGGTCCAGGGCTGACCAAGCTTTGCACCCTGATGCCAGAAAGCAAGTCAGGCAAGTTGACACGCTGGTTTCCACCCTTTCCCAGCTACTTAGTCAGAGGGCGGAGATTTTGATTACTACGCAGGATAAGAAGACTATTTTCTGCAAGCGCCAGCCAAAACCTCCAACCCTTAACAAAAGGCAGCAGATTGAGCAACTCGTCAGCCAAACCGTCTCTCCGCAGGGACACCAGTGGGAAATTCGGAGTCAGCACCCTACGAACC